ATATATAATTTATATTTTACTGTTTGTTTTCTTGGGGGAGGGGTTACCTGCAGAAAGAACCAGGGCCTTAGCACCAAGACACATTCCCAGCTCAGTTTTCATTTTTTATTTTGAGTCAGAGTCTCCCTAAACCTCGTAGCTATCTAGGCAAGCATTGAACTAGTGATTCTTCTGACTCAGCCTCTGAGTGCTAGGAGGGCAGTCCTATAGCACCTGGCTAGTTTATTTTTTTTATCTAGTGATTGGCTTCTAAAAAGTAATGTAGGGCTAGCATTGTGCATATAGGATGTGAGGTTTATTAAAGTTTAATCTTTCCTTCCTCCTTTTTTTCTTTTTCATTTGTTGGAACTGTAGCATTATAAGAGGAATTATTTTTTCATTTTTTTAAATTCCTATTTTTTAAAGTTTTTAGCTACCTGTAGCAACAGTTCTTACTTTGGTTTGTGGTTGATATGAGGAAAAGGGTGAGAATGAAGGGACCTGGTCTGCCTATCTAGGCATTAGCTACTCCTGGAGCTGGCTGCCCAGTGACAAGTTAATTATTCCCTCCTCTCTCCTTTTTTTGTAGGGATTTTTTGTTTGTTTGTTTTGGTGGGTTTGTTTGCTTGTTTGTTTTGGTTGTTTCAGTACTGGGGGTTGAATCCAAAGCCTTCACCCTAGCTCCATCCCCAGTGCTTTTGAAACAGGGTCACACTAAATTGCCTAAATTGGGCTAGAACTTGCAATCCTCCTCCCTCAGCCTCCCAGAGTGGACATGAACAACCACACTGGCTATTTTTGTTTGTTAGCTTTTAATAGCAATCTTTCAAATACCTTCTCATTTCATGTGGTAAAAATGTTTCACTTCTCTTTTAGCCCAGTAAATTTCTGGAGTTCCAAGTAGCTCCTATTGTGAGCAATGACCTCAATTTGAGGTTCCCATAGAACCCACCCATAGGGAACTGCCTTCTTCAGCATGTCCAAACTGACTGCATCTGGGTTTTTATCAGCCCCCATTAATGCAAGGGTCATTTCAAAAGGCCCCAGAATCACCTGAGCTCTCAGCAGATTCTAGGGACATTTCACAGGCATTTTACTTTTTATAATCATTTGATTGCCTCCTTGGGAGTTTTTTGTTTTGTTTTGTTTTTGGTACCAGGGATGGACTCAGGACCTGGTGCTTGCAAGGCAGGTGGCAGAACCACTGAGCTAAATCCCTGGCCCCTCCTTGGGAGTGTTGAGGGGGATGACAGTGAGACTTTTTGATCTAATTTATTTCACTAAGTTCTTTTTCACTTCACAGGAGGAGTTAGATCCAGTGGGAGATGAGCCATGGAATGCAAAATCACAGAAGCAAGTGAAGGTAACTATCACACTGTACAACTACAGTCATTTAGAGAATGAAAAATTACTCAGAGATGAGACTTAGTTCAATCACCAAGAAGCCCAGAAGGCCTATCCCAACTAAGACAAGCAGTATTAGGGAGACTTCCAGGAGTACGCTTTCATTTAGAATATTAGTAAAGAGAAAAAAATAGAGGAAAAGTACTTTGGGCAAGAAACTATCTCAAGGCTAGGCAGTTTTCTTGGAGAAAGGGAAAGGACAACCATTCATTTTTTCACAGAGCCTGTGTGTTTTGTCCTGCAGTTTAACCATTCACTCCTCGGCCAAGTTCCCCAAAGGTAATAAGACAGGCATGGATGATCCCAGTGCCACTGTGGTCAGCAAGGTGCCCTCATCACCCTGGTGAATGAAGCATGCATCTTCTCCACTTACGAAGATTATTCTCAGATGATGCCTCACCAAGTCAGTGGGTGGCGAGAGTGGATATCTTCCAATCTGTTAAAACTTCCACTATCCCAGAGTCCCCTGACAGCTCATTGACAGAGATTACCATCAGTAAGAAGCCACTGGAGCCTGGGGTTTTAAAAAAAATTTATTAGTACATATTTATCACAAATAATGATCACATTCATTATAGGGCATGTGTACCTGTGCATGGTGTGTCTTAACTCTTTTTTTTTTCCCATCACCCTCCACTCCTTTCAACCTTTCTCCCCGCGATTACAAATGCTTTGTTTCAATTTTTCCCCTTTCATTTTCTTTTTTAAAGAATTTTCCCCTTCTCCCATTCCCCTCCCCCCACACTTGTTTCCTATGTTATTTGAATATATTTTTCCTGCTTCCCAATATCTATCTGTGTTTCTCCCTATTTAAGCTTTGGGTTTCTCATACAAGAGAAACAAAGTATTATTCAAACGTGTGTGTCTGATTTATTTCATTTAACTTTATGGATTTGAGGTCTAGCCATTTACCTAAAAATCACACCTTTATCTTTTTTATAGCAGAGTAGTACTACATTATATATAAATGTTTTCTTTATTCATCTGTTGATGGACATATAGGCTGTTTCCAAGATTTAGCCATTGTGAATTGTGTTGCTATAAATACAAGTATGCATATATCATTATGGTATGATGCTTTTAAATCTTGGGAAGAAGCTTAGAAGGGGCACAGCAGGGTCAAATGGAACAACTATTTTTCATTTTTTACTGATTTCTATAGTGATCATACCAATTTATGCTTCCAGCAACAATGTAGAAGGGTTCAGTTTTCTCCACGGCCTGGACAGCATTTGTTATTGGTTGATTTCTTGACAATAACCAATCTTTCTGGAATGAGATGGAATCTCACCATTGTTTTTTTTTCTTACTGAGTTTATTGGTACATTTTAGGTATACAGTAGTTACATTCATCATTGTCACTGTTGTTTTAAATTGCATTTCTCCATATATGTGAGAATTTGTTTCTGTGCTATTTTATTGTTAGCTGATATGTGTGTTTTTATGCTTGATCATGTTTTATACTACAAGTTTTTTTTTGTGTGTGTGTGTGTGTGTGTGTGTGTATTGTTTTTTGTTTTTTGAGATAGGCTCTCACTATGTAGTTGAGACTGACCTGGAACTCACTTTGTAGCCCAGGCTGGTCTCAAACTCACAGCGATCCTCCTGCCTCAGCCTCCGGAAAGCTGGGATTACAGGCGTGCACCACCATGCCCGGCTACAAGTTTTTTATTTAATCCCTAAAGGCCCTGTTTTATCTTGCACACTGCCATGTTAGCTATTTTCATGGGTTTTTTTTTTTTTTTGAGTACAGTTACATAAAGTGTATTGTGTAACTCAGAATTTAAATTTAGTTTTTCATTTATGTTATAGCATAGGTCTCACACTGGATAGTTTGGGTACTCTTGATATAGAGGGAACAGATGTAACTCCCAAACCCACTAGATATCTAAAATGCAAGTTGGTGTTCTCTAAAATCGAAGAATGAATTCTACAAACAGGGAGGTTAGGATTAGGAAACTTTATTGAAAGATACTTTTGTCTAAGAGAGACAGAAAGAGGACTGGAAAATCGGTTGCCTGCCTACCCTGCTTCTTAAAGGTGCTTTATTGGCAAAGCCACAAGGTAATATGAGTTCAAGGTAGGAAAAAACTATAGTCAATTAGTAAGATCACAAATACAGTCACTTAGGCCTGCCTTGCAAGCGAAAGGACCTGAGCTCAATCCCTAGTACCAAAAAAAAAAAGGTGTAGTAACAAATACAGTCACTTAGGTAATATTGATCCAATGGGAAATCACAAGGCAGGTTCGAGGTGGAACAAAACTGATCAGCCAATAAGATTACAACAGATATAGTTGCTTAGGTAACACTGAATAAATGGGGACCAAATGGGACAGCAAGTTATGTAGCAAGTGTAAGAGGAACTAGCAAGGATTTTCAGTAAGGGGTGCGTCAGGGATCTTTCTTGGAAGATCTTGGTCTCCTACCCAGGTGACTGATACCTATTTAGAATACCAATCACTGCTATTCATCCTTATAGGGAAGAATGTAGATGTAGTAATTTGTCTTCTTTCACAATGCTGGCGTTCAGTGAATGTGTCTTGATTGTCCTTCATGTTGGCACCTTGACTGTCTTCTGTGTTGGCCCCTTGATTGTCCTAACTGCCTACAAAATATCTAATTAACTAACCTGTTTACTAATTTTGATTGTTCCCAGATTTTGGGCTACTGGAGTCTCCTCTAAGAGGTGACTTTTAGGCCCTTTCAGTCCTGGACAAAAAACTGAATGAAAGAAGCACAAACCGTGGTAAAATTTCTCATTTATTAAATGTGTGTGTGGGGGGAATCAGATGGCTACATACTGGAGGATGATTTATTTACAGAGCACCTTGACTACCACTATTGCCTTTTCTGAACAAGTAGGAAAGGCTTCAATCCAGCCTGTAAAGGTTTCAATTAGGATTGATATCTGTTTAAATCTGCCACATATTGGCGCGTGTGTAAAGTCTAACTGCCATTCTTCCCCAGGGTATGTACTTCTTCTCTGTATTAGTTCTAACAAAGGAGATGGTTTGGGCTTACCATGGTTATTGTAGGCTGAGAATGGGCTTTAAAGACCTGTCAGGTGGTTGCCACCAGTCCAAATCCTGTAAAAATTTGAGTGACCATTTCCAATGTAGCATCTCTTCCCATATGGGAAAAAAAATGATTAGTGGTTTTTATAGCCTTCCACAGTGTCCCTTGTGGAAGAACCAATTTGTTTTCTAAATACCAGCAGAGTCCCTTTTTCACTCCCCTTTTTCCTAAGGCCCATTTATCTTCTTGGGAAGTATAGCCCGGTTTAATGGTTTCTGATGAACTAAGAATAAGGCTAGAGTCTTAAGGAACTATCGTGGAAGCATGGAAGAACGTCCTACCAAAGGCTTTTTCTCTACATATTCGGGCCCATTAGCTCCTCAGAGAGAGGAGTATTGAGCCACTTGATGGCTCTATGTAGCCCTTCAAAATTCCCATTAGATCAGAGTAGAGTTCCTCACCACTGGTACTCCCTTAGCCACATTATGCTACTTGATGGATCTGCTTAAGCAGGATGGAACTATTGTAGCAAATATAACTCACAGTGTTGTAGCTCTAGGTGGTATAACAGAGTCTGGCCAAGAAGAATCAAGCCCACACCCTGGAAGTTGGAGGCAGGTTTATTTCACTAGCAGACTGATGGGGGACTTCATCAAGTGATCAACCTTGTCTGGGTGGTGAACAGGGTTTATATAGATTTAGCAGGTGAGGATACAGTGGCAAGGCACATAGCATTAGTTCATTGGTTGAGGTAGATACATTATGCTTATACAATTGGATAGAAAGGTACACCAGGATTAACTTTATATAGTGCAGAGCAAGTGTCACAGAAACTCTACTGAGAACAAAGAACAATGGAGGAAAATATGTCCGGCATGTCTGAATGAGACCCAGACATATTTTAGGTATGGAAGGAGCCTTTGCTTACTACCCACTTAGCTACATCACAGGCTTCTTCTGGTCAGAAATAATTTCCCTATTCAGAACCACTTGGGAAATAATACCCCATAGCAAAAACTCTGGTGCTTTCTTTAAGGCAATAGAAAGGGAAACCTTCTTTAAAAAACAAAAATCAGAAAACCTTAAAAGGATTTTTGAACAATTACGGCTTTACTTTTGTGTACTCACAGTCACTTGAGTTAAGCTTTCCTGGCTGTTCTGCTCAGGCATTGCTGTGAGTTTTGTAAGAAACAAGGAAGAGATCTAGCCCAATTTAAAAGAAAAGAGGGAGGAAGTCTACATGTTGTCTGAGATCAGAGGCTCATCTCCTATCTACAAGGGTGAGATTACCTGGGAGCACAAGGTAAATTGATAAAAAACAAAACAAGGAAATAATTGTAAATAAATATGGTGGTGGTTGACTCAAAATGGTGACCAATTATGTGACAAGATAGATTGGCAACCAGTCCTCTGATGAGACAGCATGGCAACCTAGCTAAAATGGCACCCTGCGAAAGAAAAAGCCATGTAGGGGGAAATCACAGTTGGGATTTTGGCATAATAGGCTCTCTAGCTACACAACTCATACTGGCAGAGTGGCCACAAATGAAAAAAGAAAAGGAGATAAACTTAGGATGAGCCTGTAAGTCTACAGCTGGAAGAAAAACATAATGCATTGCAGTCTCCTCCCCACTCCCACATGGTTGGAAAAGCAGGAAACAGTTATAGCCTTAAGCAGTTTCCTGAATTCCCAGCATCCAGGTATTAGCCTCCCTCTCTGATGTGTTCCATTTGATCCTTGAAAAGCCTGGACCCTTTTCCAGGACTGTAACAATGACCTTGAAAGTATTTTGAGGCTCCAGATCATTAGCATAAAGCTACTGGTGTGCAGGTAAACACGATAATTCAGTAAGGTCCATGCACATCATTTGAGCATGAGTTGATTAGGTACCTTCCATCAACTGCGTCCTGTCCTCAGTGGGAGGACATCATTAGGCAGGGAGGGATTTATTCTTCTCTATCTAATTCCCACAGTGAGTATGTTTTCCTGTACCCCCTGTGTATCAGTCAGTGCTTACTAGAATAAACAAACCTCAGGCATGTTTTCACTGGCTTTCCACATGCTGGGCCTATATTCACTTGCTCTAATCTCACCACAGGCAAGAATCACACAGTCAGAACAGGAGCCCTTATGCCCTAAAACTTGTACAGGTTACCCAAACAAACCAAGGTCAAACTTTCTTCTCTGGCTTGGAAGTTCCTTCCCTTCCAGACCACACTGGGAGATCTTACCCACATTTGCCTCTGTCCATTTTTACTGTGAGTTGCCTTGGTACTTTCCCACTTGCCACTTGATGGGTCACATGCCATTTTTCTTGAGGTATGTGAACATTAAAAAAAAATGTCTTTTGAGGCCGGGCATAGTGGCATATACCTGTAATACCAGCATTCTGCAAAGTGAGGTAGGAGGATCATCATGAGTTCGAGACCAGCCTAGGCTCCTTAGTGAGTTCAAAGCCAGCCTGGACTACATGGCAAGACCCTGTCTCAGAAAACTTCCCCAAATGAAAGGTCTTTTGAATGGCAGACATCTTCTGATAGGCTAGACCTACATACCTGACGACTATCAAAGCCTGTAGTATAAAATAATAGGTGCTGAGGGGGCTAGCGCCAGCCTGTAATCCAAGCACTCTAGGAGTTTCAGGTAGAAGGATCCCACTGCTTACCTTGAGGAAGGACTGAATGATTCCTCAGGAACAGAGGAGAAGGCTAAAGTCTTGAGGGGCTCTAAGGCTGCCCTTCTTGACACTTGACCAGCCTTTTGGCTGGTCTAGCCCCTTTCCAGGAGAAAGGACAGTCAATCCTCCAGGCATGTCAGCCATCTGACACACAGAGCAGGGCCTAGGTGGTAGTATTAAACGGTGATCAGTCCTCCAACTGCCTAGAAAGGGGAACAGCAAGGGCTAAAGAAAAAAGACAGTAGAGACTTTGATAATCTCAAAGTATATGGGGGGGGTGGGAGGTCAGTGCCTCATGGTGGGCAAAGACAGACATTCCAAGCTTGCCACTATTTATTGGGTTCATACAATAATTGGAAGGAGTATCAGGTGACTTAGCGGTCCATGGTAATCCTATTTTAATGAGGATCTTAGGTCAATGAACATCTTATGGTAATCCTATTTTAATGAGGATCTTAGGTCGATGAGCATCTTATGTGGATGAGTACAGTGAGATGAGCAAAATATTCTTATAATAGTAGGTGGAAAAGGTTAAAGTGATAAGGAATTTATCCCTTCCCAGGTGAAACCTTTCTTTTTTTATTACTACTTCATTCTCAAAGAACCAGGATCTCTTCAGTTGATTTAACTCTTGCCCTTGAATGTCACAGTATCATGGGACCACTGAAGTCTCATCTGTGACTGGAGGCAAAATGGAGTTATGTTTCTGAATGCCATAGCTGGCTGGTGAGAAGGACATTAGGGTTCATACAGCCCCAGTCATAATTTATTATGAGGGCCAGGGATGTAGCTCAGTGGCACTGTGCCTGCCTGGCAAGCACAAGGTCCTGAGTTAAATTCCAAGTACCAGAAAAAGAAATTTAATATGAAATGATTTTTCCCCAATATTATGTAGAATGGCTCCTGACATCATAGCTTGGTACAGTCACATGCCATGTTTCCAGTTTTCTTGCAGGCCTTGATTGGCCTGAGTTTTCCCTTGGATGACTTGGGTGTGCTCAAAGCATTGCCAATTGGGACAGGCATAATTTTGGTCCATTAGTTTTTTCTCAGCCCCTCTCCTTTCATCCTCACTTAGATTCTATTTGGTGAACACAGAAAAGACCATGTCCAGAAATTATGTCATAGTTGAAAATACTAAGTCTCTCTGGAGTGCTAGCTTCTGCTTGAAACAGGTTGAAGAGATCCATATACCCCTGAGAGATAAGTGGGCATCAATTATATCGATATTTTTTTCTTTTGGAGGCCTCATTAAGTACTATAGTTCTTGGGCCTTTACAGAGGTAAAGAGCTATAGAAGCCTGAACATAGGGATTTCATACCACTTTCTTTGCCTCTGGAGACTTAATCTAACTGAAAATAACACACAGCCTAGTGGTGAGGTAACTGGGATGTGCAGGTTGTTTCCCATGGTGTGTTGGCCCACAGACTCCTTAGGGGCTCCCTTAGAAATTACTAAGAGATCAGGGTGAATCTCCCTCCCTCCTTGGGAGGTCTCCCTTAGCAGTTTGAGGCCAAGAAATCAGGGTGGAACCTTCCCTGGGGCACCCTTAGAAATGGTAAGCTCTTAAATTGTCCAGGGTGTAGCCTCACCCACTGCTCACTTAGCCACCTGAGAAACAAAATCCCTTGAATTTACAATAATAAAAACTTTGGCACTTTGTTTAAGGCAGTGGAGATAGAAACCTCTTTTGAAAAAAAAAAAAAATTTAAAGCAATTTAAAAGAACTTTTAAGAACAAGGATGGCTCTACTTTTGCATACTCACAGCCACTTGAGTTGACCTCTACTGGCTGTTCTTTCTTCTGCTAAGGCCATCATGCATATGTTTCTAAATTACCTGAATTTCTGTTAGAGAAAATAAACAGGGAAGGGATCTAACCTGATTTAGAGGAGAAGAGGGGAGGAGATCCATGTGCTTACCTGAATTTGGAGTTTTAGATCTTCTCTCTAAGACTGAGATTTCTTGGTGACCATGAGTCCAGTTAAAAAAGAGAAAGGAAAATGGCAAACAGACATGACAATCCATGTGGGTGACCCACAAGATGAACCAAAATGGCCACAAAATATGGCAGAAAGGTGGAATGGATTGAAATAAGGCCCTGAGAAAGTGACTTAACTATGGTTACCTTGACATAAAAGGGCACATAGGGAAAAAGTGTAGATGAGACTTTGAGCACAAGCAGGTTCCCAAAAGCTTAATAATGTATCAGGGACTAAATTCTAGATCCTACATGGAACCTGAATGATCCTGTAAGACCTGAATTACAAGCCCATGCTAAATGACAAAGGGCCTAGGAGCCAGTGCTCTAACCCCCTCCCATTGCAGCCTTAGCCCCGACCTTTGTTCAAACCCTGGCTTAGGAATGTAAGGCAATCTTGTACTGTTTGATGTCTAGTGATTCTAGTGGTGTTAGTGATTCTAGACTATGAGATAAAATCTGTACCGTACATAGAGACCCCAAGTTAATTGTCAAACTGCTCATCCAGAATGTCTTGGTGGCCTTTGAAGCATCCTATAGGTATCTGTTACTCATCAGTGTGTGACTACCGAGTACATGACTGCTGATGACCAGTTCAAATCAGCAGACCTTTGTTCCCTGCCTGCAAGCTTAGATTGTTAACCCCCCTTTTTACCTCCCTATAAAAAGGACCTCAGCCCCTGAGCTGGTGCCTCTCTGCGCTACTTGGTTCTGAGAGTGCCGTCTGGCCAGGCTAATAAAGGTCTGTTTACCAACTAGCCTGGTGTGTTCCTTCCTGGGTGACTCTTGTTCCTCCATCGAGCTTCCAGATCCTCACTGGGTTTTAGGACCCAGCATCGTAGAGGCCTTTTTGGCTGTTCACGCTCTGTGGAATGGAAGTGGGACTTTGAAGTCTTACAATCCATTCCATGACTATTAATAGCAGGCTCTCTGGAAGCTCTTAAATGACTCATACCCAAAATGAGTGACCAAAAATGAGGGAAAGTGAATAAATAAAGGAGGAGATTAACTTGAGGTGAATCTATGGGCCTCTTACCAGCTGGGGAAAATACAACTGCTGTGTGCTTGCCCTGCTCTGTCCTACAGGAAAGTGTTCCTGGAACCATAAGAAAGCTTTGTGAGTTCTCCAGCTTCTATTTATTTTATCAGCCTCTCCTCAATAACCAAAAAGAGGCAATCCTTTTGATGGATGAAGGCCTGTCCTGGGAGAGAATGGATGAGAAGATTTGAGCTTTCCTAGGGGAGACACACACACACACACACACACACACACACACACACACACACAGGGGGTGGGGGTGGAGACCCTTCTTGACCATAGATTTGCGAGAGAAATGAAACTATGCCCAAAAGTCATGCTTCCTGGCTGGCTTTCTCAAGGTATGTTACCAGGTTTTGGGGTTCAGGAGTCTCCTTCTAGAGGTGGTTTGTGAAATAATTATATGTGTATGTGTCCAAGAGGAATGGTGGAGGTGCATGGCAGCAGGTTATGGTGAAAATTTTTTTCTTTTTAAATTTTGAGACAAAGTCTCCCTAGCTCCCTAAGTTGTCCAAGCTATGTTCGAACTTGCAGCCCTCCTGCCCAAATCCTGGAGTGCTGGGAATATAGGTGTGTGCTACCACATCCCACTAATTTTTGAATTTTATAGATTGTAGTAAATTCTCTCAGATTTCATTATAATATATATTTTTTTGTTTTTGTTTTTTGAGACAGGGTCTCACTATGTAGTTGAGACTGACCTGGAACTCACTATGTAGCCCAGGCTGGTCTCGAATTCAGTGATCCTCCTGCCTCAGCCTCCTGAGTGCTGGGATTACAGGTATGCGCCACCACACCTGGCTCAAGTCCTCTTTCTTTCCAGATGGCCATATGTACATTTAAGATCAGAAAGGTATATTTTGAGTATATATATTTTGATTGTCTTGCCCTGGGGCAAGTTGAAGAGCCTCTTGGGCAGAAGTCCCAGAGGGGAGTGCTCTTGTTTCAGTGAACTGGGTAGGGCTGACTATGGCATAGCCTGCCCTCTTAATGCCATCCTTTATGAAACTACTGCCAACTACTTCCATCAGTGAACTATATAGTAGCCAGCCTTCTTATTGGCTGGTCTCTCAGATCAGGGCAGCTGTCATAATTTTGGGTGATGGTCTGTTTACACTCATGTTTTATCTAATTTTTGGTTGGGAGGAGGCTTGCTAGGTTTAAAATAGTGAAAGACAGGAGAGAAACATCTGGTTTTCAATAAGAATGTCCTGATATTTAGTGAGCCTTTCTCCAGTCATCCTTAACTTGATGTGTGATTAGAACTAAGAACTTTTTTCTCATTTTATTGCTATTTATTTTCATAAACATAAGGTATTTCAAAGTGCTATAAGATGCTGTACTAAATATATAGCTTGAAGAAATTCACCACAGAATGTGAATTTACCCTGTTCTATGTACCAATCATGAACAAATTCTTTAAGAAGGGGAAAAAAAACAGGCTAGGGAAAAGGCATATAAGTATCAAATTTAGTTATATATAGTGTTATAGTAAAGTATACAGGAAGTATAAAAATTAGTATAGCACATAACAAAATTTAACAATATATTCATATACAAAATATGCTCCTCAAAATCAAGGTATTATTATAATACTTAGGCATGAATTCCCAGTGTAATACTGGTGGCAAAAGCCACCTTTCATTACCCAGGACATTTGCCAAAGTCAGTGTCAATGGTATTTACAGAAATGGGGATGTGTGAAATGACTGGCCAGAAAAGCTGGATGGTGGCCACAGATGAAATTTAAACACCCTGGTAAAAAGAAGGAACAAATCTTGGAAGGAACAAAGGTAAGAACAGCCACAGTGGCTTCCAAGTGTCACAACATCAAAGCTGCCATAGGGGTGAACAGTGCAGGAGATGCCAAAGTCTCCCAACATCCTGGGAGAGACTCTTGGACATCCTGCAGAACCCCTAGGGCTGGGGATTTAGTTCAGTGGTGTAGCCGCCTGCCTCACAAGCACAAGGTCCTGAGTTTGATCCCCAGTACCAAAAAAAAAAAAACAACAACAAAACAAAACCCCACATGCCCTGGCCCCACCTAGATCCAAACATGAAAAGAAACCAATTGGAGAAAGTAAACCAACATTCTTAAAGTCAATACAATTTCTAAAAATCAAAATTGGGCCAGGGATTTAGCTCAACGGTTCTGCCGCCTGCCTTGCAAGCACAAGGTCCTGAGTTCGATCCCCAATAACAAAAAAATCAAAATCAAAATGCAAAAACATGGTGGTTAGAGTCCACTCATTCCTCAGAGGGATGCCTAGCAAATCCTCACAAGCTTGACCTTCAACAGCTGGTGCTGCTCAGCCTGCAGTTTTTCTCCAGCAGCAGCTGGTGCTCCTCAGCCTGTAGGAGGCCTTCTTCAACATGACCACTCTGGCAGCCTTTTCATTGCTCACCAACTCAGGCACATGACCCCTGAGCATGAAGAAGCCATTCTGCAGGTCGTTTTGGTGCTAGTGCTCCAGGATGTTGTGGTTGCTCAGAATCAGAGAGTACAGGCATGTGCCATCATGCCTGGCTTTAAAAAAAAAATTAAAAAATATATATGTATCCCTTACATTTAACAGCTTTTCCAAAGCAGAACAAGCCAGGAATGGTGGTGCACACCTGTAATCCCAGTAATCAGGAGGCTGAGGCATGAGGACTGCTGCAAGTACAAAGTCACATAGAGATCAAGGTCAACATGAACTACATAGTGAGACCCTGTCTTAAAAAATTATATATTAAAAAGAAAATCAGACCAATACTTTAAGAACACTTACAGAGAACAAACAATATCTAAGTTTGTTGGAATATAATATTTTGATTCTGACCTTTATGAATAATGTTATCAACATGCATCAGATTTGGAAAATTTTACAATTTTTTTTGTTCTCTTCAGTTTCTATATAAAATTTCTATAGCTTTCTGTATTGAGATATGTTTTTTCTTCCAACATATTTGTTCCCATTGAGCAGCAGTCATTTTTTAAGAACAGAAACATTTATTTTTGTCTCTAATGTAAAAAAATAAATTTTATTTTTCAATGGCTTAGCAATTTCATTCATATGTAGTGATTGTAAATATCTAGCAAAGTCATTTTTATTTGATAGAGAACTGTGTGTGGTGGTGCACACCTGTAATTCAGCACTTTGGAGACTGAGGCAAGACGACTGCCTTGTTCAAAGCCAATTTGGGCAGCACTATGAGTTGAAGACCAGCCTGAACTACATAGTAAGATCCTATATCAACAAAAAAACCCAGAAAAATTGGAGGTGGAAAATTGCAAAATCTCTGTTATTTAGCAGATAAGAAGAGCTCATGAACACATATATCCCTGCCTTATATACACCCATTATACACTTTTGAAGTATATAATGATGTACAGTTTCTCAACATGCAAAAAAAGAAAGCAATTATTATTTTTTGTTTTGTTTTGGGGGGTACTTTTGGTGCCGGGGTTGGAACTTGGGACCTTCTGCCTATGAGGCACGTGGTGGCACCACTAAGCTAAATCCCCTACCCTGAAAGTGATTATTGATGAATCTTTCTTTTTCTTTCCTTGATTTTAGTGCTAGAGAATGGATTCACAGCCTAATACAAACTAGGTAAGTGCTCTACCACTAAGCTATACCTCAAATGCTCTGAATTTTAAAATATCTAGAATACAAATTATAAGATAGGTGTTACATATAATTTAGATCTATTATATGTCTTCTATTACATATATTAGAAGTAAAATGTCAAGTGTATTATATATTTAAAAATGTTAATATTTAAATAGCATTACTGTGCAAAATATTTTATATGTGACTATATATAAATATATCATCTATTTTAAATATATTACATAAAATACATAATATACAAACGTATAATACATATAAACAATATAAAACACAATAACAGATACTATGAAGCATAATTAAATACATATAATAAAATCTGAAACAAATATCACATGCTTTGCATCAAAATTTTATATGTCATGAAATATATGTAAGATGACTTCATAGGTAAAATACAGTTGTATACATACATAAGTAAAATAGTTACATTTAAATATAATAAACTACCATTGTTTAAGTGAATTATTATATAATTAGATAATTTCTATCATAAATATGTAATATATAGCACACAAAGTTAAATATGATTTGTATTTTGTATAAAGTTAGTATGCATAAAGTTAAAAATGATTTATATTTTGATAGTCATGTATCAATACAAGGCAATTACATATATTGCATACCACATTTCAAACACTATACAGCTTGCTTACATTTTAATTAAATTGCTAAAATTTACTTTATTTATTTATTATAGTACTGGTGATTGAGCCCATTATGTCTAAAATATATGGGAATACTTTGTATTCTATAAAATTTAAATATAAATGTTGGCTGGGGATGTAGCTCAGTGGTTCCTCCTCCTGCCTCGCAAGCACAAAGACCCAGAGGTCCACAGAGTGGACTCCAGAGGCCGCCACAGATAAATGCAACAATTGAAGAGAGCAGTGGACACAATAGACTGCAGTGGCTGGTGAGTTTTTCGGGTTCAGATGCCACCCAGCAGAGCACGATTGGCCAGTAGGACTCAGAGCAACTGTGGACTGGCCCCATCTAGAAGCTCCCAATGTCAGGGAGAGACTGCTGAGTTAAATCAGCAGGATGCCAAGGAGCTGAGTTCCAGCTGGCAGGAGGCACATTGAGTATCTACAACAAATTGTGTCCCAGACTCACAGCCAGAAATGAGCCTGAACTTCAGTGGAACTAAAGGTTAAGGCTTGCTGGGATTATCCAATACTCTGCTGTAAATTTATGGCTGACTTGTTGGGATTAATCAACATGGATCTGGACTCTGTCCATCCACTTTGTATACCAATGACAGCAGAGACACACTTTAAAGTGGACATTTTTTCTTGTCTTCTTTTTTCTTGTTTTATCTTTGTTTGGTTTTGTCTGTTCTTGTTTTTATTTCTTCTCTTTTTCCCTCCTGTCTTCATCAGTTCCCCAAAGATCTTTTAATCTTCCCGTGGCCTTCAGCCTTGCTTCTAATTTCTTCTATTTCTCTATTTTTTCCCCAACCACTAATTTTTTCCCCTGAGGGTAAAATTGTCATACTGAGGGCTTATTTACTGTATACAATTTTCTGGTTTGTGGTAGATTTTGATATATAACCACAGTTAAAGTTGACAAATTAATAGCACATTTTTCATTTTCTATGGTACAATTGATGCTGTTGTTATTACTGATTGTGCTACCTTAGCCAAGGTGACTTAATTATTCTAATCACTCTTTCTGGTTTGCCAAGACTGAGACTGTGTAAAGGCCATAAATAATATCCGTGCCAAAGAACCAGGAGCTGGGCTAAGTAGGCAGCAACTTCACATCCCTAATAAATTGAGGAGGTAGAATCTTGCAACAAACTCAAAACCCAAAAGCCAGCTATACCTAGAAGTCTCTGAGTAGTCATTTCCTAATGGGTCTTAATACTAGCAATAAAGCTACTAACATAGGCAATTTATAAACATCAACCCAGGAATTAAAGAAAAAATAGAAAATTTTATTTAAAAAAAAGAAAATGAGAAGACACAGAAGCAAGAAGCAACCCCAGATTTTCAGCTCACCAAAGGCAAACCCAGGGGGCAGTGACGTGGAACAGCTTTAAAGCCAGCCCTCTGGACTCTCCAAAGTGATATCAGCAATGGTTAAAAAGCAGATATGAGGCTCTAGACAAAAATCAAATCAGAAATAGTTTCTCAGATAACTACAGAGATGGCAACAATAATTCAAGACTTCCTTAGTGACTCTAGAGCAAATACAGATTTTTAAAAATAGAAGAGCTTAGGAAAATGTGGAAACCATGAATGACCAACATGGGAAAGAAATGGAATCCATGAAACTGATTCATACAGATATCCAAGAGAGGGCTGGAGGTTTAGCTACAGCCAAGAGATTAAAAATTCTATTGAAAGTATACACAGTAGAATAAACCAATGTGAGGACAGAATATTAGATATAGAAGACAGGATTGTGATTAGCAATCATTAAAATAAATATTTCTTTTAAAAAAAGATACCACTGAAAATCAATTCAACAGCTGCTAGATAATGCAAAGAAATATAACACAAGAGTGATTGGAGTCAATGAAAAAGTGCGAGATAGTAAAAGTGACATTAAAAACCTGTTCACAGAAGTAATGGCAGAAAACTTTACAAGCATGGAAAGAGAATTTGACATACAGATAAGTAAGGCCTATAAAATTCCAATTAGCCATGACTGAAAAACTACACCAAAGCATATAATAGTCAAGATCCTGGAATCCCAACAGAAGAACAAAATACTACAGAATCTTAGAGAGTAGCCAGTCTTCCTCTAGCATGGAACATATGAAGGAGACACTTCAGTCACATGAATCTGAGTAACTTTTTCTATGCTTCCTTCAAACCTAAAACTATCTTTCAAAATTGATGGAGAAATCAGGTACATCCATGACACAAAGAACACCTGAGGAAATTCATGACCACCACACTAGCACTACAAAATGTTCTGAAGAATATTCTAGAAAGAGATAACAAGGACTTCACTTGCACGAACACCAGAAGAATGAATGCACCAGGCAAGGCAAGCAATTAAATAGAGTGGGGAAAAGTGAACCAACAACAGGAAAATAACATGACAAGAAGTCAATACATACCAGTTAATACCATCAATGTTAATGGTCTCAATTCACCAATGAAAAGAAACAGACTGGCAGAATAGATCAAGAAGCAAGATCCAACAATATGCTGCATACAAGAAACACATTCAATTCATAAATCAGATATGGCAAATTATGAGATTCACGTGCCTGCCAGTTGGGTGAATAAAAGCCCTACAACCAAAAACCTCACACACACACACACACACACACACACACACACACACACACACACACAAATGAGGCAAAGGGTCCATAGCAGATAGACTAATAGAAGGCTATGCAGAATCTCCAATCCCAGCCTTGATGTTTTAATTGACAAATAACTGATTTAAAACCTGTTTCCAAACAATTTCTTTACATCATCATCTGGGTAAAAATTCAAACTGTTAGAAGTATTGCAAATTGGCCACCTCTATTTTGACCTGTTTTTGACACAGTTTAGCTCTAGCTATAGCAATATCACTTTTGCTCCCTCTGTATCTATGATACTGCATTTAAAAGAAATTTGCAAATCTAGTGTGGAGAACTAACATTGCCTTTAATTATGCAAGGAGTTCAAACCTACTGTGCCATCAAAATTCATATAACCAGTTAGGTATGGTAGCATATACTTATAATCCCTGCACTGATGAGGCAGAGACAGTAGAATTTCCACAACTTCAAGGCTATCTAGTAAGTTCAAAGCCAGTCTGAACTACACATCAAGATGTTGCCTCATTCAAATCAGTCAGTCAATCACAAAATCAAGACCTGCCTTAGTTTGAGTGGGTATCCATGTAGAAAAAAAAAATCTCATTTGACATACTCATATCTATGAGCCCAATATTGAAGACTTTGCACACTGTGCCACAGTCCACTTCAACATATACTAAAGCAGATTAGGTACACAAACTACATCTTCTGAAGCACAAATTGAATGTACTGTTACCAGCCACTTAGGTTCCTATGGTCAGGTTTGTTTGCTCACTAATGACCAAATCAAAATGAGGTAGGAGATTAGGGTGTGGCAAACTGGCTGAGCAATTGGGCGTGACTTGTCAATCATGGAAATCTAGGAAATGTGCAGAAAAACAATTCCCAAAGGCCTGCATCTGGGACCAATCAGAAAATGATATCTTCAATTCTCACAAGAAATCAAGCAAGTTTTTGACAGGATGGCTTAGACCTGAAGTCAGTCCAAGGGCTGGGAGAGCAAAAGATAGCCACCATTAAGGTCTTGGCCATTGTGTTCTCTCTTTTATAGTGGAATACCCTCAGCCTGAAGTGTATTCTTCTTTTTCTACTTCTAATTGGCTCATATTCACTCTGCAGAGCATGTTTCTTTTTCTATATTTCTTCCTACCTTCTTCCTTCCTTCCTTCCTTCCTTCCTTCCTGCTTGCTTGCTTGCTTGCTTGCTTTCTTTCTTTCTTTCTTTCTTTCTGGTAGTAGGGATCGAACTTGGGCCTTTGAGCTTATGAGGCAGGTACTGCAACCACTGAGCTAAATCCCTGGCCTTTCCTATCTTTAATAAATGTAAAACCTCACTACCTTTTTTGCTTATTTTGTCCAATTCTTTGTTCAGGACAAGAACCTAGAAAGAATCTTTAGAAGGAGTCCCCAGACCCCTGAATCTTAATAACATATTTTGGCTGGAAGTGTGCCTTTTGGGCATAGTTTTCTTTCTTTCCTATCTGAAATTTATGGATTTAAGCCAAGAAGGACGGGTTTAGTTTTTGGGCTTCCCCCCGCCTTTTCCTCTTTGTGTCACCTACAAAAGCTCTAATCCCCTTCTTCTCCTTCTTTCCCACTTGGGCTTTCATCTGTCAGAGGACTCAAATCTTTTAACTTTTTTTTTTATGTTAGCTTTTGGGAAAAGGCAAGACTTAGAGTGTGTTACAAAATAATGGAAGCTAAGGAACTCAGGTGGCTTTCTCCTGGCTCTGGAAACAGTTTCCCAGTATGTTTCAACATGTGGAATGGGGGAGAGGAAGCACACAGCCTTGGTATTTTTCCTAGCTAGTAAGAGAGGACCACAACACTGTCTCAAGTTTATCATCCTTTTATTTTCTTCATTTTCCTGTTTTCAGTCACTCATTGTGGGTATGAATAATTTAAGACCTGCCAAAGAGCCTTTTATTGATGCAACCACAGAATGGATCACTCAGATTTATGTGTGAATTAGAGTTTAGTATTCTTTTTTTTTTTTTTTTTTT